TGAAATAATCAGCAATTGCAAAGGGAAATGAAAACAGCATACTATTTTGAACGCCTTTTGCAGGAATATGTATGGCTTAAATTTCATATATAATGAATCACAACTCTGTAGTACAGTACCTCCTTTTCCTGTAATTACAGCAGGAAATATTTTGGTGTCTCTCTACAAGCTTTACAGCCTAATATCATTGTCCTTTTTTTAAACACACCATAAGCTCATTTGGAAAGGATAGTGAGCGTCAATGAACATCAATTTCCAGGTCTTACTGCAGGTTATTACTTAGATTTGGACTTTGATCTCTTCACTACAGATTTGACTGTATGTTTCAGATACTGTGGATCTCTTGCTAGAGGGTGAACTTCTTGCCCCAGTCCCAAATATTTCATACTGAGGGGGGGATATTTATTAAAAATCTTAAATGTATAAATGCAAATAAAAGTCTTTTTTTTTTTGTTTTTTGCCAGACAGTTCAAGGCAAAACTAAAGTGCCTTTTTGCTGTCTCATCGTGCCTGTAAGAGGACTGTTGTGGGGAGGGGGGTAAAAGTCAGCCAGTCTTTGTTATGTCCCTGAGTTTCAATCAAGGTAGCCTGGTACTTCATCAGCTCACTCATATAGGAGCAATCCAACCTTATGGATCAAGGGAGTGATGTAGTGACAATGCATGGTACTGCATGTGCCACCAGCAAGCCATGGTTTTTGCAATAATTAACTTTACTATGAGAAGAGTAGGAAGGTTAGCAATATTATTTAGGAAATAATAGTATCAAGAGACTTATGAAGCAGATATTTGAAATTAGTCCTACACCTCTCATTTGTCCTGCTCCAGCATTGGGAGCTGTGAGAGAAATCACCATCTTTACTTGTAATTAATTAAAATGAAAACGCAGAGCTGTCTTACATTTTGTTTAAATTCACAGGTTTTGTTGGAAAGATTTTCTAAAACATGCTGCAGATGCAGATAATTGTAGAACACTGGTAAGGAAAATAATTTGAAGCATTTGGCATATAGCTAAGGATACTTTCTGGCTTTAAACTGCATGGGATGTGATCACTGACATGGGGATGATATGGGTACAGTGCATACAACAGATTGCAGTGCAGATTATCAGGACTAAGAAGTTGATGGAAAATAACATGATACAAGATTAAATATACAGTAATTGAAAATGACAACAGATTATCACTAAACAAGAGGCTTAAGAATAACCATAAAAATAAATCTTAATTAACAAGTAAAAAAGAGAAAATAATCTCAAAACACAAGTGCAAATCATTTACTGAGAACACCACAGGCAACAAAACTGCAACAAACCCTCCAAATACCAAACACCACCTAAAAATATCAAAGTCCAACACCCGCCTAGACAATCAATACCCAAAGACAAACAGATTATGACCTGCTCCTCTTGCCAGGATTATGTATGTCTGTTGATGGCCACAGATGTGTAATAATAAAATATTCTTGCATTCTTATGGAGCATTCACACCTGAGGTGGTGACAACGCAGAGTGCAGTGGATTCACATTGAATTCCTATACAAACCATGCAGTGAAGGGTGGTAAAGTGGTGAGTGGAGAACTCCACATAGTGAAAGCGTTCATTTCTCCACTCTCACCTCGGGCTACTAGATAGAGCTGAGGTGTTTTCAAACAGCAGCATAGCATGGAGAGGAGCGGTGATCACTGAGGTTGAAACGTTTTCTATGAAATCGCAACACTGTAGCCAATCAGGGACTTGTTGTAGGCAAAGCTTTGTTCACATAAAATGGAATACAAAGAAAATAATGTAAAAAAAAAAAAAAAAAAAAAGGTAGGAATAAGGAATGCTCTCAAGGGGTCTCTAGGTGGCTTTAAAAAAAGCAGATTTAATTAGTCCTACTGTAGCAGGACTGTCAATCATCCTCACTTACCTCCAGCATAGAGCCTGGTCTGTCACTGCCCACTGCCCAGCATCGGTGCTTTATGAGGGTGTAGATTCAGAGCTGCCTCTTAATGAACCAAAGTGGACTCTTTTTTTTTCAGAACTTTTGGGGCTTCTCCAAAAAATTATGGTCTTCCCAAAGCGATTAAAATTTTGTAACACCAATTTAGCAGCAGTCCGTGAGGGGGGAGTGGCGGCCTAGTGGTTAGGGCATAGGGCTTTGAATCCTGAGATTGTGAGTTTGATCGCCCACTCCAACAGAGTGCCACTCTGGGTCCCTGAGCAAGACCCTTAACCTCACACTGCTCCCCAGGCGCCTCTCAATGGCAGCCCACTGCTCCCCAAGGGGATGGGTTAAATGCAGAGAAGTAATTAGAGTATGTAAAATCAAAAAATAAAAAAAAAATTTAAAAAAATTCTTAAGAACATTAGATGTTATGCAATAACTGTATATCAGGAAAGAGCTCAGCACCACCATCTAGGGTTAGGGTTAGGGTGACATTGTCGGCCGTCATTGAAAATAATTATATCTCAAAAACCAAATCAGCACAGACAATTATTTTACCTGTACAGATGAAGTAGCACTGAAAAAGTAGGCTACATTGTTTTTATTCTATCCGGAGTTAAATGGAGGTATAGTTGACCTCTGGGTGACCTAATAATAGTCTTTACTATCTCTGAAACAACAGCAACACATATGATCTTTATTTTTTTTTTTGTTTTTACTATTGACAATTTAAAATGCATAAATCTGGAGCAATGGCCATTCAGTCTATTTGCTGATTGTTTTCACGTCAGCGGGGTGTGAGCTTCACATAGCTAAAGCTCCTCCTATTTGATGATGCGGTCCAGAGTGGAATGCAGAGCGGGGCATGCAGGAATCGCAGGGTTCACCACCTGCTGTCTGAACGCACCATTAGGTGATGGAATAAGTGCTCTGTGAGATGTTCAAAGCTCGCTATATGTTTTTACAACCTAACCCTGCTTTAAACTTCTCCACCACTCTCTGACCTGTCTACCATGTGTCTCAGTCTGATGCTGTCTGTTCATTAATGGGATTTAAAGTTCCTGGGGCTTCAGTGATGTGCTGTATAGTGCTGAACTTAAAGTACAATATATAGACTCTGTTTATTATTGGTTGGCTCTGGAGGTACCATTGATTTTATTCAAGGACATCAAAGTAAAGGAGGTTTAAAACCATTTAAATTTTCTTATTTGAAACTTTTAACATTACCCTATTTTAATCCACTTTATCTTTGTACATTAGCTTTAGATAATATGTCACACAACATCTCTATGAAATAAAGTGAAAATTGTTGTTGATGCTAGATCTTAAAAGGTTGCCGTTAATTTGTCCCAAAATTAACACAAACAGTAGGTGATTCTGCAAATAGAATGTGACAATAAAGAGAGTTAATATTATATGAAATTATAAACATAATACAAAGAAAGCTATAAACAGTCCAAATTCAAGGAGTTTACACATGTTAAATTCCTGAAGCTAAAAAAAATCTAATATGTATTGTTCTGACAGCAGGAAAAAATGCCTGAGGTATCTTTAAAAAAAAAATCTGCTGGGGGAAAAAAGCTTGAGCACTCACGCTGACAGAACAACGGCTTTGCCCAAACAATAAATTCTATTTGCATGCACAATGAATGCCCCTCACATTATTTAATACCGTGTCTCGGTTATTTGAAAACAATGTGTCATATTAGAGTATGTGACTAATGGCTTCAGTCAGACAGGCACACTATGACTGCACTGCACCACAAAAAGCTTTGTGTCATTAGTTTCAGTAATATGACAGGTTTTAAATCCCTCCACGCAGTAATGAGATCGGCCTAATCAGAAACATTTCCCATGTTTCATTCTGGTCAGATCAGTCAAGTTACAAAAAGCTATTTTCCTTACATTCTTCTGTTTGGTCTTAGACAAGGCAGTAAGAAATATGGCAATCTAACTTCTGCAGTGGTATGTATCTGTAGAAATAAACAGCTTTAAACATTCGCTGTTTAAGGAAACAAAGTTTCTTTGTAAGCACTTAACGACCAATTTCTCACTAATAACATTTGTTTAGAACAAAGTGAACAACCACCTCTCTAGTGCTTATGTATCATAGTAAATGTACAGACAGATGGGAAACAATGAAGCATAGGTGTCAGAATGCTGCTGGAAGTTACTTAAGGGTCTTGACACCAAACATGAAAACATAATACAATGGCCAACTAAGACAATTCAGCAACAGCAGTCCCCTTTTCAAATATTAGTTAATAGCTACTTGAAATACTTACTATATTGAGGAGTATCCAATGAGGAACAAGTTAAGAAAAATGTTTCCTAAGAGAGGTAGTTTCGAGACCTAAAAGGCTGGCATCCAATATTGCAATTTAAAAGCTTTTTTGACTCAGGCTCCCTGTATTTCAATATTTTATATTACATTTTAATACAAAAAAAACAAAAAAGTTGTTTTGATTTCAGCCCTGGTTTCTCAGAGTGGGGTCATTCTTATGTGCCATAACTACTTTCTTTTCTCCTAAGAACTAAATGACAGTGATAGGCCTACTTAATAACTGTAACCCTTTAACTTTGTGAAACTTGGGGAAGATCAAAGAAGCACCCAGAAGTTTTACTCTTCTAAATTGATGGGCATTTCAAATGTGATTGTTATATGCTTCAAAGTGACATATTGAATTCTTCTGTAACACCATTTTTTCCATTTTGTCCCAAAAAGTCAGTGGTGGAGCAGGCAAAATCCAGGACTCAAATGTAGCCTAGTTATTTGATGATACTCATTGTGTATTATGCAAAACACAGGTAACATAAAATTTTTTTGCCATGTTTCATCAAATTGAGATTCATAGACTGTTAGCCTAGAAAAACAATGATTTGTTAATATAAGCTACATTGTACAGTTTTGATATTAAAATGAGTTATTTTGTAAGCTTTTTTATATAGCAGCCAATCCTCCAGCTCCCTATTAACGCACGGCGACAAAGACGCAGCAGCATCTCAGCACCTTCCCACTTTCCGCTGAATACAGCCAGCTGCAACTTTTGTTGCTGCGCAGCTGCCGATGGATCCTCCTCACTCAAGCAAGTTGGGCTCATTTAAAGCCGAGCCAGGCGGCTGCATGATGTCACATCCGTGGAGTAGGGTCTTCTGAAGGATTTACTCTGTTTTTCGCCGCACAAACTTTTTTCCCCTCGCCAAGGTTTCCTCCATCTCAGCCGGGTGCCACGCGTGACGGGCACGAGTGAATGGACGTGCCGACCTCCTCTGGCTTCCCTGGATGTTTATGTTTTTTCCCCAGAATAGTGGACGCGGTGGTCAAAGGTGCACGAATTTAAAAAAAGAGATAAACAAAACAAAACTTGAGATCCTTTGTGAACTGGGGCCGTTGAGGTGAAACTGCTGCAGAATGTGGTCGCTGACCGTGGTTCTGAATCCATTGCTCTTCCTGCTGCTGTTCGGATATTGTCCTACTGTGGTGAGTTACCAGTACGAATTTGTGCTTCACATTTAGACTCTTAATATAATTTTAACCCAAGCGAAACTATCTTACCTGTTTGTGTGAAGTTTATGTGTTTTGGCATTGATTTGTTTTGGGTGGAGCATCGCAAAACCCTAATTTTTTATGTCTTTATTAAATGCGTGATTTACTTTAGAGAACTGCCTTTCTTGTATTTTTTTTTAACTGTATAAAACTATTTTATCTATCTATCTATCTATCTATCTATCTATCTATCTATCTATCTATCTATCTATCTATCTATCTATCTATCTATATATATACATATTTATTTATTTTAAATGTATTTATTTTAAATGTATTTGTGTGAAATTGGTCTTTCTTAAAATAAATGCTTTGAATTATTATATTAAAATGTATTTGGATAATAAAACAAAATTTTGCTATGATTTACCTTCTCAAAGAAATTATATTCTTGGTAAAGTAATCTTTGAAACTTAAACCCTTTTATATTATATGGAACAAGATAAATGTATAATTACAGGTGGTCCGGGTGGTCCAATGAGTCCAGGGTCTCCTTTCTGACCAGTTGAGCCCTAAAAAACAATGCAAACAACATGACAGGGGCATTAAGAACGCTTAAATACTAAATATAAAAAACATCCAAGAATCCAAGAAAGTATTGAAAGTAACATACGACTGATCCCTTAGATCCTTTCTGTCCTAGAGCACCCTGGTAAAAAAATAAGTCAATAGTAATGTTAGATAGAGGTAAGTCAAAATGAGGCAGAAAAAAAAAGACTATTTCCAACATGAATAAAACTTACTGGAAGTCCAGGGGGACCAGGAGGTCCAAGAGGACCTTGTGCACCAGCAATGCCCTTATGAAATACAACAAGATGGATTTCATCAGTATTTAATGATAAGCTGCACCAAGAGGAAATTAATCGACCAATAACTCATAAAACCCAATGAAAATGTTTTGATTAATAGCTATTCTTATGACAAGCACTTACAGGTTCTATCTATCTATCTATCTATCGTGATTATAAAAAAATTGATGTAAATATTATTGTTAATATGATATATGCTGAGATTCTTTTAAAATCATTTTTTAACAAAAATATAAAAACTTAGATAATTGATTTGTTTTTGTTTTTTTACATTAACTGTAAAGCGGTGACAAAGAATCTGATAAGACATCATTTTCAATACCATATGCTTGCAAAAAAAATAACATTTCCACTCATATGCAGTTTCTGTTTTTCATTGCAGTACATATAAATGGCATATCTTATTACTTTTTGTATGTTTTCTACATTCTGAAATATTTTTGAACTAGTCTAGAAAGAACCACCAGCTTGCTGATCACAGAGCCTTTTGGAAAAAAAAAAAACAGGGTTCAATTAGGTTCCATCCACCAATGACAATTCTCCTTTTTTTTTGCCAGTGTCTTGATTGCAAGGCAGTATTCTCACCATGTCACAATTGGCATCTGGTCTGCATGAGTCCTGCTGCTCAGAAAGAGAGGGTTATTTGTTGACTATAGAAATACTTCCTGAAGGTTGGGGTGTGAAAAACTCATAATGACTAGGCTACTAAAAACAAAGACAGACCAGCTGTCAAGTTGTTCTATGAGGGAGCAAAAGAAAAAAAAAGAAAAAGAAAAAAAAGCATATTTGTTTTTTTAGCTTTTAAACAAAAAAACTAAAGTGGAGAGAACATCTGGCTTATTTGAGCATCACAATGGTTTAAATGAGGAAATGTGAACGGAAAAATTGAGGAAAGGATATGAGTAACTAGAGAGGAGAAAGGGCTTTTTAACAGAT